AGCTCAGTCCTGGAATATCCAGCCCGTCAGCTGGAAAAAAAAAGTGCGCGGTGCCGTTCATCGAAGTACCGTGCCATAACCTGGCGAAATTGTGGCGCCATCTGGCACCGTCGATGACGTCCTCCAGGACGCATTGAAACCTAGCTCACGCAGTGGAGAGCTCGTCGGCGTGCCAGTTGAAGGCTCCCGCGAAAGGCATGATGCGGCCGTCGCTGATACCTTGCTCACCGGGGTGGCTTCCGACTTTCTGGGTTTTTGCAACATGTTGGGCTTGGCTTAGAGCACCCGATGGATTATTTGCCAAAGTTCCGACTGCGGTCCGACATGCAGGGGGAATTTACTGCGGAGACCACAGCTTGGCTGTCCACGAAAGCGTGGACGGGCCGTTCGGCAGTGGCCACGAGATGGAGCATGGCGAATGCGCGGACTGAGCGAAGCCGCGCGCTCGTGCGGACCAGTGAAGCCGGCAATGGCCCGCCGTGGCCAGGAGGGGGAGGGCTTGGTCAGAGCATGCCCTGTTTAGCCCCGCAGTGGCATCTCCAGACGGTCTAGACGCGGTGCTCCTGGGTGTCTTCTCTTTGGTCGCACAACCTGTTCAAAGGAGATGGTTACACCAAGATGCCAGTTTTGACTTTCTTCTGTTGGGGGTGGTCAACTCCACGGAGGTGTCAACATCCAAACATGTCCCATCGGCTTTTGAAGATTTTCAAAGTTCTCACCTTTTCGGCCGCCGACGCTCTAAGACGGCCCAAGAAGCTTTTAAGATCGCTCCCAGACTGCCTAAGAGGCCTCCTGGAGAACCCCACCACACCCGACGACAGCCTAAGAGGGCTCCAAGACGGACAGAGAGAACCCCAGGACGGACCCAGGAAGGGGTCCAGAAGGACGATGCCGAACGAGCATTTCGAGCCCTCTGCCCCAAGAGGCGTCCAGGCTGTCCCAAGCGGCCTCCAAGAGCCCCTAAAGAGGGCCCAAGCAGCCCTCAAGAGGCGACAAGAGAGCCTAAAACTACTACGCAGGAAACCCCCGAGAACCTTCCGAAGAGACGCCAAGAAACATCCATGAGGGCTCTCACCCACAACCGCAGCAGCGCCGACCAGCAGCGCCGCGTGGCCCACGAACGCGCACGCAAACGCCAACGATGGTACAAGACGGGCCAGCGGAGTGAACGAAGCGATTCAATCGGCCAACGTGCCTCTGGGCACAGAGTGGGCGTGTCCTCAGGTCCTTTGCCCAATCCCGTGAGCCTGAGCCTTCAATCCTCAGGAATCTCTTAGGGCCCAGGAGCCCAAATTCATAAATCTCTCGGGGCTTGGCGCGGTTCTCTTAGGCCTTGGCGCATCTTGTTGCGCGAAATTCGGGCCCAGAAGGGCCCTACGACGGGCCAGGGGGGCTCCCAGAGGCCGCCAAGATGGCCCATCAGGGCCCCGAGAAGGTGAAAGATCCCACCAGGACGCCCAAGATAGCCCCCAGACGGCCCACGAAGCCGCCAAGACGCCCAAGAGGCCTCCAAGCGGCCTCCAAATGGCGTCCCAATTGAGTTGCCGTAGATTTTCGACGGATTTTGGCGTTGTCGTCATTTCAGCTTCCTGACGCTCGCAGACGGCCCTGGAGGACCCCAAGACCGTCCCACGACAAGAGGGCCCCAAAAAGTCCCAAGGGGGCCCCAAGACAGACCAAGAGGCGCCCAAGACGGCCAAAGAGGGCCCCAAGACGGCCCTCAAAGGGGTCCAGCAGAGGGAGCACAAACCGAACATCCGAACCCTCCGCCCCCCAAAGCCTCCAGGAGACCCCAAGAGGCGCACAGGAGGCCCCAAGAGAAGGGGCCACAAGAGGCGCCTAAGATGCCCCAAAGAGGTCCCAAGAGGCCCCCAAGAGGCGTCCAAGCTGCCTCCAAGAGCCCCCCGAGAGGCCCCCACGCCATCCCAACGAACATCCAATAACCTTCATACCCACAACCCAGGCACGGTGGCGGGATAGGCCGAGGGCCATCAGATAATCAAATTCCTTCGCGACAGCGGCGAAGGCTCCCATATTGTGCCTGCTCGTACGGATTCGCGGGAGAAGCGTTCTCCACTGCAAAGCCCGGAACATGTGGGTAAAACACCCGAGTGGGTCGCGGATTCATGTGAGCCGGGTGCCCCAATCGTCGTACATGGTGCCGAACTCGGGCCATGTCGAGTCGACTTGGGCCATGGTTTGCCAGCCTCTGCCGGCAGAACAGCCCCCTTGCAGGTTTGCATGTGACTGAGCGGCGACTCGGCTTGTGCGTTGAGACTCGTGTCTCTCCGCGCCTGCCTTCGCCGCCCCATCCACGCTTCTCTTTGAGTGATAGCGCCCAGCTCGCTCGCGTGACTGGGGACCGCCAGAGTGTATAATGCCCATTGCAAGATCCCCTTTGGGTTGAATGGCCGCGAAGGCCCTGCTATTGTAAAAGTTGCGCGCTCTGTCACTGCGGGCTAGTATGTCCGTCCCTGTGACGCACATTCTGGCGGCCAGGGATCGGACGGATCAGACCCTGCGTCTGGTGCCTTCTGGGAGACTTCCGATGCGGGGGAGGTGTTTGATGGCTTTCTTGACTCAAGCATCGGCGGTGGCTTCCAGGTTGGTTCTATGTCACTCGGTCTCGGGCGCCACGTTGATGGAACATCCAACCAACTTCATCTGGTGATGAGTTTTGAGCGGTTGCCCGCGCATGTGGAATTCAACGACCTGGCAATTGAACGGTCCTGCGATGGTCTATCCCGCAACACTGCCTGGGTGGATTCTCGGGCCAAACAATTTGTCAAAGATGACGGTCTGGCCGAGAGGAGTTTGAAGTTTCTCGGCAGCCGGGGCAATGGAATTGTTGTCGTCAACACAAGTGCTGCGAAACAACCGTGGGGTACACCTCGGTTGCCGTTTTGTCCAAACGCACAGCAGAAGCTTGATGTCTTCGAGAGAAAAAAAAAGAACTGCTTTGGCGGTTCCGTGGTACGTCTCAAGGAGGGAGGGCGCCTCACATGCGATTCTGGCGGCCGTGGCGCCCCACACGCAAGATGTCCTGCGGGAGAGAGAGAGAGAGAGAGAGAGAGAGAGAGAGAGAGAAAAAAAAAAAAACAAAAAACGAGAGAGCGAAAGAAACATAAACAGTGCAAAGCGAAAGCACAGAGGGAGGGAAGAGGGAAAACGAGGGGGCGAGAGAGAGAGAGAGAGAAACAAGAACACATAAAAAAGAAAAAGAAGGAGGCACATGGAAGGCACACAAGCATAATCCGCCGACCCTGTCGGCGTGTGTGAGGGGCTTTTCCGTTCGAGCCGTCATCTCCGTCATTCTTTGTACTCGTCGTCTCTGTCCTTCCCTTTCCCTGGGAGACCTCTTCCCCTGGGCTCCAGCCAAGCCGACCTTGAGCAACCTCGTAATTGAGTCGAAGGGAAGCCCCTTCCCTTTGATCCCTCCCCCGCCGGGAGGGGGGGGGGGGTAGCGACCCCCCCCCCGGGTCAGATACGACGCCCCCCCCTGGGACTCCTCTTCCCCTGGGCTCCAGCCAAGCCGACCTTGAGCAACCTCGTAATTGAGTCGAAGGGAAGCCCCTTCCCTTTGATCCCTCCCCCGCCGGGAGGGGGGGGGGGGTAGCGACCCCCCCCCCGGGTCAGATACGACGCCCCCCCCTGGGACTCCTCTTCCCCTGGGCTCCAGCCAAGCCGACCTTGAGCAACCTCGTAATTGAGTCGAAGGGAAGCCCCTTCCCTTTGATCCCTCCCCCGCCGGGAGGGGGGGGGGGTCCCAGATACGACGCCCCCCCCTGGGCCTGGGCTCCAGCCAAGCCGACCTTGAGCAACCTCGTAATTGAGTCGAAGGGAAGCCCCTTCCCTTTGATCCCTCCCCCGCCGACCCCCCCCCCGGGTCAGATACGACGCCCCCCCCTGGGACTCCTCTTCCCCTGGGCTCCAGCCAAGCCGACCTTGAGCAACCTCGTAATTGAGTCGAAGGGAAGCCCCTTCCCTTTCATTCCTCCCCCGCCGGGAGGGGGGGGGGGTAGCGGGGGGGGTAGCGACCCCCCCCCGAGTCAGATACGACGCCCCCCCCCCGTACCGACCTTGAGCAACGTCGTCATTGAGTCGAAGGGAAGCCCCTTCCCTTTCCCTTCCCCGACGGGGGGGGGAGAGGAGGTCCCGGGGGGGGTCCCGGGGGAGTCCCGGGGAAGTCCCGGGTCAGATACGACACCTCCCTCCCCCACCTTCTCGTCCTTCTCCCCGTTCCCCCAAACCATCCCACAGCCCGTGCCTCTTGCTGCGCATTGCGAACAGGGTCGGCGGCACCGGCCGTCAGGCCTTCGCAATAACTCCTGCTGGTCCTCTTCTTGCTGCTGATGGGGCCGTGCTCAGTAGCCACCGCCGTGCCCCACGCTATCGTCAAATCTCATTGAAGGTTTTGCACGGACTTTCTAAAAGCATGCCGCCTTCCAGGACCTTCTCCACCTGGGAAATGGGCAATGCAATCATCCTAAGTCTCGAAATCTCGGCAAAGTGGTGCATCTGAAGCTTGGGCGGCAGCGGCGCACTGCGAAACTGCTGATCCTGCTGCTGCGGATCCTCCTGCTTCTTCTCATCCTCCTGCTCCTCGTCCTGCTGCTCGTCACCCGAGTCCTGTGGCTCCCCCTCCCCACAGGCGCCGACGCGAAACACCGAACCACCAACCCTACCAAGGGAACCAAATCTCCTGCTCTTCGTGCTGGTGCTCACCCTCTGCCTGCTGCTCTTCCTATCCGTGCCGCCGCTGCGGATCCTCCTCACCACAGGCGTCCAGGGAGGCAGCAAAACCGAAAACCGACCGACCGAACCGACAACGAAACCTGAACCGACGGGCCGAAAGAAGTTTAGAGGAGCGCGGCGGCGAAGCATCAATAGGATGCGACTGCCTGCGAACCAGCCGAATCGAATACATCGCGGACACCCTTGACTTCCCCTCCACCTGCTCCTCCTCCTCCTCATGGTTTCGCTCCTCGCCCGGCCGCTGCCTGACGCATCATGAGGCCGTACACCAGGTTGGCGTTGGAGGCGTACTGGTACCTCTCCGAAAGAGATGGAGGGAGCATACGCAAGCTAGCTGCGCTCGCACCACGGCTGAGATCATACCCCTCCCGCCAAGCCCTTCGCGGTGTTCCACATGCATTAGCACCCGCCGACTGGGGGGTCCTACAAGACCTTGGTCACCTGAATGGCCCCATGTGTGATGCACAATCACATGCGGGGGGCCGGAGAAGGGGAGGCTGGAAGGGAACAGGGGAGGGGGAGGGGAGGATGTCCGATGTGGGGCGTGTGCATGTGCATGGAACAGAACGGAGCGAGAAGGTTTGGAAATTCTCTCCTTCCCCTCCTCCACGGAGAGCTGTTCAAATAATATCCAGATTGGGGCTCTCATTTGAGACTTTGTTCATGATGCCCAGTGGTGCACTATTGTGCAACCGTTGCACAGATCGAGAACTTTCCGTTCAAAACAAGCTCTCGATGGGCATCCCCTTCAACTGTGTGTTCCCACCTTTTCGCATCTCTATAGCTCGCAGGACGCAGAGCAGTTCTATCCGCCACCGTGCCCTGTGCATGTTGAGGCGTGGAAGAATGCAAAGGGATGCCTTGTAAGGTTATTGCATCATTCTAGTAAAGGCCCCCCTCCCCTACTCGCGCCTCTTTGCATGCAACGCCCCCCCCCTCCCGAGGCCACGATCCATCGTAGAAAACGATGGGTCCGCGCCCCGAGCTCCCAAGACGCCCCATGCGGGAAACCAAGGACACCAAACTGGCCCACGATGCCTCGACGACGGCCCCAGACGGCCCAAAGGCGACCCGATGTGGCCCCAAGACGGCCCAAGATGCCTCCAAGATGGCACAGAAGGGCCACAAGATGACTACCAACAGGGTCCGAAGAAGCCCAAATCATTGACTTCCACTGGGTCTTTGAATGAGTCTCGCATTCTGGCCTTTTCGGGCTCCCGTCAGCACGAAGTCGGACCAAGACGCCTCCACAATGGCCCGAAGTCGGACCAGCAGGTTCCACGATTGCCCACGAGGTACCCAAGACTGCCCCAAAGCCTCAGGACGGCGTCAGAGGGTCCTCAGGGAACCCCAAGACTGCCTCAAAGGAGGCCAAGGCAACCCCAAGACGGCCAAAACGATTGCTATGCGAGCTCTTCAAATAGTGAAGACGAACGATGTCGCATGCGACGCCGTTCCTCATCCTCCTCCTGCTCCTCCTCTTTTTCTCATCCTCGTCCTCTTCCTCCTCATCATCATCAGCGTATCATCATCACCACCACCATCACTATCACCATCACCATCACCATCACCATCACCACCATCACCGCCCCCATCATCATCATTAGCATCATCACCATCATCATCAGTATCACCAGCATCAGCATCATCATCATCGGGATCAGTGTCATCATTACTGTCATGAATACCATTAATTGTATTACTACGATTGATATTCTTATCACTATATCGGTGTTATTATACTGAATATCTCCTCACCACCGCCGTAATTATCAAAACCATTGCCATCATCACCACCATCCTGATCAACATTGCAATAACCGGCAGCAGCATCGTCATAAGAGGCATCAACACCAACATCATTATCAACATCATCATATTCATCCGCACCCGCATCATCATCAGCATCATCATCACTGTTACAACACTCATCATCACACATATCAGCATAATAGACAAACTCATCAAACTCATTATCCTCATCAACACCATCATCACCATCACCATCACCATCACCCGCATTATCATCAACATCATCAATATCATCATGATGACAGTCATAGGCTTGATTCTCCCGAATCTCGATTCGCCCGGATCAATTCGCCCCAGCTCGAATCGCCTGGCTCGATTCGCCCCAACTCGAATCCCCTAGCTTGATTGGCCCGAATCTCGATTCGTCCTGCTCGAGTCGCCCGAGTCTCGATTCGCCTGGCTGCATTCGCCTGGGCTCGACTCGACTGGGGTTCGATTCGCCCGAATCTCGATTCGCTCGGGGCTTGGTTCGTCTGGCTCGATTCGCCCGGCGCTCGAAACGCCCGGCTTTATTCGCCCAGGCTCAATTCGCCCGAATCTCGATTGGCCCGGCTCCGCCCGCCGCCCGCCTGACCCGAACCGCCCATTAAGGTCCCCGCCCAACCCCACTTGCCCGTTAGGGTCCGCCCGCCCGACCCGACCCGCCCGTCAAGGCTCGCACGTGCTCGCGCGATAATGCGTCCTACTTCAATGTCCCGCCCGCCCGACCCGACCCGCCCATTCGGGTCCGCCTGCCCGATCCGACCCGCCCGTTAGGGCTCGCGCGTGCTGACTCGATGATGCGGCCCCGCCCGCCCGACCCGACCCGCCCATCAGGGTCCGCCTGCCCGACCCGACCCGCCCGTCATAGGGTCCGCCCGCCTGCGCCCCCTCCTCCCCCTCCGGACCCTTCACGTGCCCGGCGAAGCGAACCCAGGCGACGCAAACCCTGGCGAAACGAACCCAGCGAAACGAGACGAACCGAGACTCCGGCGAACCGATACTCCCGCGAAACGAACCTCGGCGAAACGAGCCCCGGCGATTAGAGACTCCGGCTAAGCGAGACTCCGGCAAAACGAGCCGCGGCGGACTGAGACTGGCGATCCAAGCTTCGGCGAACCGAGCCTCGGCGAATCGAGCTGGGCGAATCGAGTCGGGCGAACCGAGCCCAGGCGAATCGAGTCGGGCGAACCCAGACCCCGGCGAATCGAGTCCGTGCCGTCTTGGGACCGCATTGGGGCTTCTTGGGCCCCCATGGTGGGTGCGCAGTGGGCCCCCAGTGACCCCAAGATGGGCCGAAAAGACCTTCGACAACCCTCGGCTGAGGGTTGTGGGAGGGCGGGGGACTTCGATCGGCTGTGTTGCCCCATCGCCTCCCCGCGTCTTGGGGCGATCTTTGGGGCCTCGTGGGCCGTCGGGAGCCCGAGAAAGCGAGAACCTTACAAACGTGCAGTGACAAAAAATTTAGCCGTGCAGCGCACGGCGTGACGCCAAACTTCCAAAGAGCAAGCTGGAAGCTTCAGCCTCTCAAGCTTCATGCGGTCTGGCTGGTCTGATTTGAGCTAGTGCTGAAGCCTTAGCTGAAGATTCGGGCGAGCGTGGTTTAGAGGTGGTGTGCAGGGAGGCAGCGCCAACCACTACGACAACCACCGAAAAATAGTTGTTGATTACATTGCAGTCTGGTCTGCCTTTCATGTTGTTTTGCATTGAAATTTGTTTGCATCTGGCCTGGCTGGTCTGGTCGGTCTGGCTTGTTCTTCGTCCTGAAGCCTTAGCTTAGGAGTCGGGCAGGAATGATTTAGGGGAGGTCCAGTGAGGCCACTGGACAACAATTTGATCTTACTTTCAGTTGTTTTTGCATTGCAGTTTGTCTTGCATCTGGTCTGGCTGGTCTGGTTGGTCTGGCTTGAGCTTCGTGCAGAAGCCTTAGCTTTGCAGTTGTGTTTGCTTTGCAGTCTTTTTTGCATCTGGTCTGGCTGTTCTGGCTTCTCTGGCTTGATCTTCGTTCTGAAGCCCTTGCTTAGGATTCGGGCGAGAACGGTTGTGGGAAGGTCCAGGGAGGCCACCGAACGCCGGTTGTGTTGCATTGCAGTTGTTATTGCATTGCAGTTTTCTTTGCATCAGGGCTGGATAGTCTGGTTGAATTGGTTTGGTAGGAGCTTCGTGCTGAAGCCTTAGCTTAGGATTCGAACGAGAGTGGTTTAGGGTAGGTCCAGGGCGGCAGCGACTACCACTACGACCAACAAAACACAATTGTTTTGCAATTGCGTTGTTTTGGCTTCGCAATTGTTGTTGCATTGCAGGTTTGGTTGCATTGCCATTTGTTTTGAATCTGATCTGGCTGGTCTGGCTGGTCTGGTGTGAGCTTCTTGCTGAAGTTTGAGCTTAGGATTCGGGCGAGAGTGGTTTAGGTGACGTCCCGAGAGGCAGCACTAAACACTACGACCACAGAACAACAATTTGTCTTGCATTACAATCTTGTTTGCTTTGCGAATATCGCTTGTATTCCATTTTGATTGCAGCTGGTCTGGATGGTCTGGCCGGTCTGGTTTGCGCTCAGTGCTGAAACCTTCGCTCAAAATCGGGCGAACATGGTTTAGGGGAGGTGCAGGGAGGCAGCGCCAACCACTACGACCACCGAACAGCAGTTGTTGTTTGCATTGCAGTCTCTTTTGCCTTGCATTTCGTTGCACTGCAGTTTGTCTTGCATCTGGTCTGGCTGGTCTGGTTGGTCTGGTTTGCGCTTAGTGCTGAAGACTTAGCTTAGGATTCGGGCGAGAGTGGTTCAGGGGGCTCCACGGAGGCAACGGCTACCACTACGACCAACGAAAAAACGTTGTTCTGCATTGCTGTTTGTTGCTGCATCCGGTCTGGCTGGTCTGGTTCGTGTGGTTTGAGCTTACTGCTGAAACTTCACCTTAGACTGCTGAAACTTCACCTTAGGATTGTCCTACCTCCAAAGTCTGGCGACCCTCGGCCGTCGTGAAGCGATAGTTGGGCCACGTCGGGGGCCTTCGGGAGCCCGCTGCTCGATTTCGGATGGTCTTCAAGTGCTGGGAGGTATGCTGACGAGATCGCTCCCCATTGCAAGCGGCACTTGTGATTCTTGCAAACATTTGCGCAAGTGGCCGCGCTCGGAACCCAAAAGTCGTTTTCGGGCCCCTGTGACCGTCCGATCCGGTATGGAAATGTTCCTCAGGAGACGAGTGTGGCACTGTTTCCGCAAATCTACGTGGACGGTCGGTGATCGAGAGACGTTCTTGCATGTTTCGGGGGTGCGGGGCAGGGGAAATTGCACTGCTTGCAGAGGTGGTACGTACGGCGGGGGCAGGAGGAGCGGAGCCGTGAACCGTCTCACACGCCTTGTGAACCCTGCAAAAGTTGGAGCTGGCGGGCTGGCGTCCTCCTGCCCCTGGCCAAGGACGCGTCGACGTGTGTGATGGTCGGAGTGGCACTCGGGGCAGTG